TTGGGAAGGGGTAGGACTGCTCACCTCCACGTCCCTTTCAAGCCTGAGCTTTTGAGACTGGGGGTGGGGGATGAATTTGAGAGGGAAGGAAAAGGAGATGAGGAGGTCCAAACCCAGAAGAGGGGCAGCTCGGGGCAGGGCCCTGGTTGGCAAGATGGTCACTGCCCCAGGCCTCTTCCCCACCCATCTCCTGGCCACAGAGGCCATCAAGCTGTGACTGGATCACAGCATCAAGACCTGGGAGTGCCCCCAACAGAAGCAGCCCCAAGAAGGGTGAGTACATGTACCCCAAGGGAAATGGTCAGATCCAGTGTTCACTCCTGGTACACCCAGCTCTTCTGCTCACCATGGTGAAACAGACTTCCTTGGTGCCACCAAAAAGACAGAGGGGGCCCCAGAGGAAAAGGGGGAGGGGGAAAAGCCCTCATCACCAGGGAACAGGAAGGGGGTAGCGGTCCAGCCCAGCGTCCCCAGGGAAGACAGAGGCCCGCACAGGTGCATAGCCGCTAAGATGAGGAACAGAGGGGCCTGGGGAAGAGGCTGGGGAGCAGCTGGAGGTGCCTTGGCCTCCTCCACTCTGGGCTTCCCAAAAAGCAGGAAGGGGCCCCAGGAACCACAGAGAGGATTCTGGGAACTGGAGTCTTGGGGTCCCCTCCCCAGGAAAGGGATGGGTCGACGGAGGGGAGAAATTCAAGACGGGAGCCGGGAGGCACTTAGAGGCCATCCAGGCCAAGCCCTTCATTTGACAGAGGTGGAAACTGAGGCACAGAGTCCCACAGATAACAGTCAGGAGTCAAACTCAAGAGTTCCTTGTTCAGCCCCTTTCCACCCAGTCAAATCCAACTCTCCCATTTTACAGTGGAGGCAACTGAAGGAGCCCAGAGAGGGCAGAAATTTTCTCCAAAGTCATACAGTAATCCCAGGATTCTTAGAGATCATTCAGTCCGCCCCACCCCCTCATCTCACAAAGGGAGAAAGTGAGGCCCAAACTGAGGAAAAGACTTAGAATCCCCTCATATCAGAAGAGGATCAGATCTGCCCTCATTCTGCCAGAGCAAGGAGAGATGTCCCCGACCTCAGCATCAGGCCGGGGGAGGACACCATGGCTGCCCCAGAGGACAGGCACACATGCCTCATCCTCTGACAGCTAGCTGGGTGATGCAGGGGCGGAGCTCTGGGCTGAGTCAGGAAGACCCAAGTTCAAATCCAGCCTTGATCATGCACTATCTGTGTGATCTTGGGCAAGCCACTTCACCCCAGCCTGCCTCAGTTTCCTTATCTGTAAAATGGGGATCACAACAGCAACTCCCTCCCAAGGTCACTGTGAGGATCAAATGAGATTATGATCGTGAAATGCTTAGCCGGGTGCCTGAAGCCTGAGGAGGACGTACAGAAGGCAGGGCAGGGGGAGGCCATGTCCTGGTGAAACAGTCTCAGCCTACGTCAGGCTACACCCAAACTACCTCCTTCTACCAGCTCCTTCAGGAAAGGATGGGTCGGGCCACTGAATCTTTGGCGTCCCTCAGGAGACCAGGCACCTCCCGAGCGGCACCACAGTACTGCAGGGTGGGAATTCTGAGATCCCAGGGGATTAAGCTGTTGATGTGGCTGGCTCCCGATCTTCCCTACTCTTGCAATGATGCTTGCTCCAATCACAGCTGTGAGCTCCCCCTTCCTTCCCACCTCACCCTGTGGCCACTTGCTAAAACCCCTGCAGACTAGTAATGAACCTGGTTAGCCTGAGAACCTGGAAAAGATAGAGGGTGGAGAAGGAAGAGAGAGGAAGAGGGGAGGGAGAGGAGAGAAAAAGAAGGGGAAAGATAGAGAGGAGAAGAGGGAGGGAGACAGAAGAGAGGAGGAAAGGAAGGAGAGAGAGGGGGGAAAGAAGGAAAAGAAATGGCAAAGGGGAGGGAGATGAGAGAAAAAGAGCGTAGGGGAGAAGAGAGAAGGAAGAGAGACAGAAGAGAGAAGAGAGCTAGAGGGAAGAGGAGGGAGGGAGACAGAAGAGAGAAGGGAGGGAGGAAGGGAAGGAGGGGCAGGAAAGAGAAGGGAGAGAAGGAAGAGAAACGGAGGAGGGCAAGGGGAGGAGGGGAGAAGAGTGTGAAGGGAATTAAGATTTTCATATTAATCGATATGATAAGTGTAATGAATATAGTAATAACTTAGATTTCTCAGAGCTGCCTTTTCTGGCTTGGGAGTCACAAACTCGCAATGCAGCTTGAAATGATCAAACCCTTGACAATGCTGTCACAATCACTACATTCTTATGGCTGTGTACCTTAAGTGAAGTGAATTAAAGATTGTAAAACTCTGGACCCATCACAGAACTCTGGACCTGCACCCCATCAAATAATGACGCCCAAGACTTGAAACAATCAGCTTGAGAATTGTTCCCACAGGACTCCAGAACGGCTACACTGTCCTGCACTCGTGGGCTTGTCGTGGGAAACCACTCAGGCCCTGGAAATGACCTCCCCCCACCCCTTTTCCCACCCTGAAATATGTCTATAAACTGTGCCTTTCCCCCAGCATGTGGAGCTCTCCTCAGGAGAACTTCTATAGGTCTGCAGACTGATTCCTCACTCTGAAAGTAATTCATTAAACTGAGACTCGTTTCCTGGTACTCCAGTCTCTGGCATGCTTTGTGAGACTCCGGATATTCCCAGGTTAGAGACTAGTCCTGTCCGGTCTACAAAGAAAATTCTATTAACAAGAGGAAGGGGAGAATTAGAAGGGAGAGAAGAAAGAGAGAGACAGAAGAGAGGAGGGAGTGAAGGACAGGAGAGAGAAGGAAGAGGGGAGAGAGGTGAAAGGTAAAGTGGGGAGGGAAGAAGAAGAGAGGAGAGAGAAGGAAGACACGGAAGAAAGGACAGGGGGCAAAAGATAAGATAAAAAAAAAAGGAAAAGGACCTATATGTACAAAAATATTTCTAGCAGCCCATCAATTGGGGAATGGCTGACCAAGTTGTGGTAGGCGATTATGATGGGATACTATTCTGCCATAAGAATTGATGAGCAGGATCCTCTCAGAGAAACCTGGAAAGACTTGCATGAACTGATACAAAGTGACATGTACTGTGTACAAAGTAACAGCCGTACTGTGCGATGATCAGCTGCGAACAACTTGGCTATTCTCAGCAATACGATGATCAAGACAATTCGGAAGGACTTAGGATGAAGAATGCTGTCCATCCCCCGACAGAGAACTGATGGTGTCTGAACACAGACGGAAGCAGACTTTTTTTACTTTATTTTTCTTGAGGGGTTTTTTTTAATCTATGTTTTCTTTCACAACATGACTATTATGGAAATGTTTTGCATGACCACACATGTACAACCTGTATCGAATTCTTGCCTTCTCAGTGGTGGGGGGGGGGGGTAGGGAGAGAACTCGGAATTCAAAGTTTTAAAAACAAATATTAAAAACTGTTTTTACATGTAACTGGGGAAAAATAAAATACTAAATAAAATTTTTTAAAATGGGAGAGGAAATAGAGAAGAGAAGGAACCTGACCTCTCCCCCTAATTCCTAGAGGAGGGATGAGAAATGCTTCACTCTAGAATGCCATCCAGCAGCCCAGATAGGCTAAGCATTTATTAAGCACTGACTGTATGCCAGGCACTTTGCGCAGTGCTAGGCCAAACTGAGCAGTTCTGCCGCCTCTGCAGTCCCTTCATCTCCATGGGCCTCAGTTTCTTTATGTGGAACATGAGAAGCCCCAGAGCTGGGATGGCACAGTTCTGGGCTCAGGGAGGGGAGACGTTGCCCACATCCAGAGGGTGGAGGCCATCTCTTGTGTTCCCTTTCAGAAACGGCTATGGAGAACCTCTGGAGGAGGAAGCCAGGATGGTCAGGGCTTGCTGCCCGTGTCACGTGAAGACACAGAGGGAGCTGGGCAAGTTTAGGCTGGAGAAGACAAGACTCGGTGGACACAGGACCATCCTCTTTGAGTATCTGGAGGTCAGAGGCTACGGCCAGAGCAATAGAGGGAGGCAGCAGAGGCCCCTTTGGGCTCAATGTCAATGCCTCAGGAGGAAGGGACGCCCCTGCCCCTGCCTCAGCCCCTTCATTGGGAATGTAAGTATCAACGAACTCTGTTTGCCTTGGCTGAAACCATGCAGGCCCCCGAAGTGGTCTGCACACCCAGGGCTGGCCACCCATCCGTGGGCTGTGCTCCAGTGACCACACACATGGGCCGGTCCAGCAGGATCCTGGAAGAATCTCAGGGCTGGTGGGGACCGCAGTGGCCAGCTAGCCCAGCCCATCCCTGAGCAGGAACCCATTGCAGGCATCCCTGAAAAGGGGCAGTCCAATCCCTGCCTCCTTATGGCAGGATCCAGAGGCACATATACACTCACCCTCCATGGAAGGGCACAGGAAATAACTTGATTTCCTCAGAGCTCAAAGGAAGTGAGACACACTCCAGAGCTTGGGGGACTGACAGGATGGGCACAAGAGGGGAGGTGGAGGGAGACACAAGCGCTCAGTGAAGTCAGCGGTCACAAGCAAGGGTCCGGAGCTCCAGCCTGGGTCACGCCTTTGGGAAGCAACGACCCGAATGGACCAAGAAAGCTGGGACCATGGACAGAATTCAAGACAGAAGACTGGACCAGAGATGGGGCCCTGGGACGTGGTCAGATAGGCAGCAAGACCAGGACATAGCTGAGCAGTCAAGAGAAAGGCCAGGGTGGCCCAGGCTCAAAGCAGTGAAGCAAGAGGGGAGAAAATGCAAGAAGTAAGTGGGGGGCAGTGGCCCAAAGCCACGGAGCTGGAGAGGGGCGGGCCACGAGGAAACGCAGGGAAAGCACCAAGAATGTCAGCAAAGGAAAGGGAGAAGAGAGGGATGGCAGGGAAGAGGGAGAGAGGGAGGAAGGGAGAGGGGGGAATGAGGAGGGAGAGAGAAGAGAATGAGGGAGGAGGGAGGAGGGAGAAGGAAGAGAAAGAAGGAGGGAGAGATGGAGAAG